GCTACTCATTAGCGAGCACAAGGAAACCAATAGCGGTGTAGAGCAGGAAGTCAGGGTACACTGCCAGCACCCTGCGTGTCTCAGGAACAGCCTTGGCCACAATGGGGTATGCAGCAGAAGAGCTCCAAGCGAATGTGACTAAAACGAGCGCCATGCGGACGAGCTTGGCAGTGGTGAGGAGGCAGAGGAGGACGGCGAGGTCGAGAGGCACGAGGCAGTAGCCGAGCAGGGAGAGGCTCTGGAAGAATATGAGGTAATAGCATATAGCACAGCACACCACAGCATATAGCACAGCACAAAGCTAATAGCATATAGCACAGCACACCACAAAGCACACTTGCTGAGCACACCTGCTGTGGGGAGCGTCACCACCACTGATGCAACGGCATGATGCAGAGGCAACAGTGATGATGCAGAGACAACGGCATGATGCAGAGACATCTCAGCTGAAGTGCACATCCCCTGTCAGCATAGCAGCCGTGCGAAAGCAAGTCCCCTCTGCTCTAGCTGCATGCTCCGACCTGCCAATGGCCCAAGGAGAGAAGACGGATTCCGATGTAAATGAATATGCAGCGCGGTGTAGCGCGGTCAAGCACATGTATTGGGTGCAGCGCGGTGTAGCGCGGTGAAGCGTGACGAACAAAAGCGGCTCACCAGCTCCGAATGCATGCGCGGTCTGAAGTAGCCATGTGCGGTGCAAGGCGTAAGCGACAGGAGCGAATGCGGTTACATGCGGTTACACATGCGTTGGCCTGCCTCAGAGGGGAGGTGACGTGGCAGGGCGTCAGAGGGGAGGTGACGTGGCAGGGCGTCAGAGGGGAGGTGACGTGGCTGAGCGACTGCGTGCACGGCCTGGAGGACGAGATGGGGGAGCGCACCTCACGGGCGTCAACTGTCTCAACGTGAGCAAGAGAGAGGGGAGGTGAGAATAATCCGAGTCCGTCGCACTGCGCCCATGCGCGTCGCACTGCGCCCGTGCGCGTCGCACTGCGCTCGTGCGCGTCGCACTGCGCCTCGAACTACTCTTCTATCGACAGCCGACCCGACGCCATCGCGGTGACGACACGAAGAGGTAACCGGGGGTGGCGAAATTTAAACCGCCATGATTCGAAGGAGAGCGACCATTATGCAGTGAAGCTTTTCATCTGATACCTGTGATCACGGCCAGAAACTATCCCAACAGCAAGGAGAAACGAGATGATGGGGGGTTCACCTTAAGAGGTGAAGATCAGCAATAAGGTAACGCAATAAGGTAGTGTGCTGTACTTGTATGCTGAACTCTGTGCTGACTATAACGGGTTTTTTTAAACCTTTCTGCCTGTCTCGATTCTCTGCTCGTCAGCGCACCCCAGCCCACTGCCACGAATCATTTTGTTCCTTTTCTCTAACCCGCCTTCTCCTTTCTCCGCATCTAGCGCCGCTCGCCGCACTTCGCTAGCGTGACATCCCTTCCGCCTTGTCGTGTCACCCACCACACCTCCTGTGTTCGCGTAGTTTCGCGAATTCGTGTCTTACGTTTCGTCGTTGGAATCAATAGCATTCGCCAGCAATGGCGGCAGCGGTTGCAGATCTGACGGTGACGGCGGAGAATGTCGGCGCGTCGGGCGAGTCGAAGGTGCTTCAGGCCATTCGGTATTCCCGAGGGAAGCTCGAGCTGCTGGACCAGGCGAGTCGTGCTGGCGAGTCGTGTTGTCAGCTTTAAGTTGAAACATTATGCGCACGAAACTGTCGCACCCTTCTTGTAAAGGGTGCGTCTTACGTTAAGGTTAAGATTCAGTACGGTTCCGATGAATGAAGGCGTGCTTCCGTATACAGCATCGTCACACCGTCGGATAACCAGACTAAGGCGCTGCTTCTTTTTTTCCCTTCCATACCACGCCCCGCCCCGCGTGTTGCATTCATTCCAGCGGAAGCTTCCTCACGAGTCTATCTACCTCGACATCCCAACCACCGAAGCTGCCTGGTGGCTTCGCGATTCTCATTATCATGCCACCATGCATCACGGCACGCCGAAAATGCGACCACGAACATGCCAGTTAATGCCTCCCCCTGTACATTCCCTTGCACCGCGCTCTACCGCGCGGTACCCATCACAACCCTCAGGCACGCCATCAAGGACATGGTGGTGCGGGGAGCGCCGGCGATCGCCATCGCAGCAGCGCTTGCGCTTGCAGTGGAGGTGTACCAGCACAGCGTGTTTGAGAGCGCTGATGCCGCCGTGAAGCACATCACTGACCGGCTTGACTACCTCGTGTCCAGGTGCGCTTGTGTGTTTGACCGTTGAGGCGCCCCAAGAGGCGCTGGCAGTGGAGGTGCTGGCGTGTTGGCGTTTCCAGGTGTGTTTGTGACTGTTGGCGTCTCAAGGCCTTGGTTGGTGCTGGCAGTGGAGGTGCACCAACACAGACAGCGTGTTCGAATCCGCGGATGCCGCTGTGAAGCACATCACCGACCCGCTTGACTATCTCGTTTCCAGGTGCGCTTGCCTGCACTTGAGTGTGTGGAGTGGAGTGGAGTGGAGTGGAGTGGAGTGGAGTGGAGTGGAGTGGAGGTGCACCAGCACAACGTGCTGATGCAGCTGTGAAGCACATCACCGATCGGCTTGACTACCTCGTGTCCAGTTGCGCTTGAGATGTGTCAAGAGCAGTTGGCGTCTCAGGGGGCTGGGCTGGCAGTGGAGGTCATCGTCTCCAGGTGCTCTTGCCTGCTGAGTGTGTGTGCAATGGAGTGGAGGTGCACCAGCACAGCGTATTCGAATCCGCTGATGCCGCTGTGAAGCACATCACCGATCGCCTCGACTACCTCGTGTCCAGGTGCGTATCTCTACTCTCGATGATGCCTGACCCAAAATTCCGAGCACTTCCGCACCTGCTTTCACCAACCACAGTCACACCAGCCAACCACCGCCTGGGCGGCTCTCACCAGCCAACCACCGCCTGGGCGGCTCTCACCAGCCAACCACCGCCTGGGCGGCTCTCACCAGCCAACCACCGCCTGGGCGGCTCTCACGCCCTCCGCTCACTCTCCATCTTCCTCTGCCCCCCACACCATCCAGCCGCCCCACGGCAGTGAACCTGTCGCACGCGGCAGGGAAGCTCAAGAAGGGCCTTGTGTGCTCACACGCTCTCCTTTGTCTCTCCCTCACACCCTTCTCTCTCCCCCCGCCCTCCCAGTCGCCCCACAGCAGTGAACCTATCAGACGCAGCAGAGAAGCTGAAGAAGGTGGCAGAGGACGCAGCCAAGGAGGAACCCACGCCCGAGGCTGTTGTGCTGGTGAGCTCACGCAGTGCTGGCAAACGTAGTAATGGTAATGGTAATGGTAATGGTAATGGTAATAGTAATGGTAATGGTAATGGTAATGGTAGTAATGGTAATGGTAGTAATGGTAGTGGTAGTAATGGTAGTGGTAGTAATGATAATGGTAGTAATGGTAATGGTAGTAATGGTAACGGTGCAGTGGAAGTAATGGTAAATTACCGAAAACATGTTCGATGTTCGGGCATGTACAGATGGGCGCGCCGCGAACGCCCGAACATGTTCAGGCCGAACCCGAACATGTTCGGGCGAACTTTTTTACAGGAAAAAACAGAAAAGTTCGGTTCGCCCCCGAACATGTTCGGACGAACCGAACACCCGTTCGCGATTTTGCTCTTCCTTAATGGTAATGGTAGTAATGGTAACGGTGTAGTGGTAGTCATGGTAACTAACGGTGCAGTGGTAGTAATGGTAACGGTGCAGTGGTAGTAATTGTAACGCTGCGGGTGGCAAAGGCGATGCTGAGCGATGATGCGGCTATCCGCTTTGTTCTCACTCTCTCCCCCTCCTAATTCCTCCCATGCGCCTCCGCTTTCCTTCCCTCCCCCCCCAGGCGACAGTGCTGGCAGTGGAGGCGATGCTGGTTCTCACCCTTCATCTCCCTCCCGTCTGCCAACCACCCCCCTGGGCCCACCACCCCCCACCCTTCCACCAGGCGGCGGTACTGGCAGCGGGATGCCATGCTCAGTGCTGGCAGCGGGATGCCATGCTCAGTGCTGGCAGCGGGATGCCATGCTCAGTGCTGGCAGCGGGATGCCATGCTCAGTGCTGGCAGCGGGATGCCATGCTCAGTGCTGGCAGCGGGATGCCATGCTCAGTGCTGGCAGCGGGATGCCATGCTCAGTGCTGGCAGCGGGATGCCATGCTCAGTGCTGGCAGCGGGATGCCATGCTCAGTGCTGGCAGCGGGATGCCATGCTCAGTGCTGGCAGCGGGATGCCATGCTCAGTGCTGGCAGCGGGATGCCATGCTCAGTGCTGGCAGCGGGATGCCATGCTCAGTGCTGGCAGCGGGATGCCATGCTCAGTGCTGGCAGCGGGATGCCATGCTCAGTGCTGGCAGCGGGATGCCATGCTCAGTGCTGGCAGCGGGATGCCATGCTCGGTGATGACGTGGCTGTGAACGTGGCTGTTCATTCTCTTTGTTCTCACTTCTTCCCACCCCAACACCATTACCCCAACGTCTCCAGGCGACAGTGCAGGCAGCGGAGGCGATGCTGAGTGATGACGTGGCTGTCCTCACCCCATTCCACCCCTCACATTTCCATTCCGTCTGCCAACCACCCCTCCGCCCCCTTTTTCCTCCCCCCAGGCGACGGTGCAAGCAGCGGAGGCGATGCTGAGTGACGACTTGGCGGCCAACAAGCGCATCGGGGCGTTTGGCGCTCAGGCCGTGGTGGAGGCACTCAGGCACAAGGGCGTTGAGGGGAAGAACTTGAGGGTACTCACCCACTGCAACACCGGCAGGTGAGGGTACTCACCCACTGCAACACCGGCAGGTGAGGGTACTCACCCACTGCAACACCGGCAGGTGAGGGTACAAACCCAGCGCAACACTGGCAGGTGAGAGTAGTCACCCAGTGTAACAGCCGCGTACGGCACGGCTCTAGGCGTCATCCGCCCAGGCTCTGCTGGAGACGCGCCCCAACACCCAGGGGTCGCGCCTCACGTTTGTTTTCCCCCCAAACCTATGCCTCTCCCCTCACTAGTCAGCCTGGCCACTGCAGCCTACGGCACTGCCCTGGGTGTCATCCGCTCGCTGCACGCGCAGGGTCTGCTGGAAACAGCCGTGAGCACGGAGACATGCTCCTACAACCAGGGCTTGTAGCCTCACATGCATTCCCTCTCGCTGTTTTTGAGGCGCCTCAAAAGTCGTCTCAAAATTTGAGGCGCCTCAAAACTTGTAGCCTCACATGCATTCCCTCTCGCTGTTCCCACCCTCTACAGCCTGGCAACAGCCGCCTACGGCACAGCCCTGGGAGTGATCCGCTCCCTCCACGCCCAGGGCCTGCTGGAAACGGCCGTGTGCACGGAGACGCGCCCCTACAACCAGGGCTCGCGGCTGACGCCTTTGAGCTGACTCACGACGGCATCCCCGCGCTGCTCATTGCTGACTCCGCCGCTGCCTCGCTCAAGGCCACCGGCCTCATCGATGCTGTTGTCGTGGGGGCTGATCGCATCGCTGCCAATGGTGGGTTCACTGTTTACACGGAAACTGCGATAATTTCACGCCCTGAACATTTTCTTTCCAGACACCCTTTTAGGTTATCCAGTCCGGTTCGACGGGTCTATGAATCTGGAACCGGCAGGGTCCCTGTCCCTGTCCCTGTCCCTGTCCCTGTCCCTGTCCCTGTCCCTGTCCCTGTCCCTGTCCCTGTCCCTGTCCCTGTCCCTGTCCCTGTCCCTGTCCCTGTCCCTGTCCCTGTCCCTGTCCCTGTCCCTGTCCCTGTCCCTGTCCCTGTCCCTGTCCCTGTCCCTGTCCCTGTCCCTGTCCCTGTCCCTGTCCCTGTTTGAACCCGAAACCTCATTCATCCTTCTACCGACTGGACCACTCCATGCCGTAGAATGGGTACATTGTCTTGTAACTATATTCTAAAAAGGTCTTTTTTCATCTGACAACATTGACTTTCCAGGGTATTTTTTCTAAGGGACTCAGATAGAAAGTTTTTCTTGACACTGACGAAAGGACCAGCACTGACGAAAGGACCAGCGTCGACGAAAGGACCAACACTCACCCCTTCTCTCCCCCCATCTCTTGACCCTCCACCTGTCGACCACCACCAGGTGACACTGCAAACAAGATTGGTACATACTCACTGGCGCTCTCAGCCTTCCACCACAAGACGCCCTTCTTCGTGGCGGCGCCGCTGACGTCCATCGATGCAGCGATCAAGACGGGGGAGGAGACTGTGGTGGAGGAGCGGCACGCTGCTGAACTCACACACGCACTGGGGGGCGCTGGGCCGCAGGTGCGTTAGAGGGGGGAATGTGGGGAATCAGGTGCGTTAGGGGGTGGTGATGCATGGCTTGATTGGATTGGGGGTGCTGGCCTTTGGTCCACGCTGACGTCCATCGATGTGACCATCAAGACAGGCGAGGAGATCGTGGTGGAGGAGAGGCATGCTGCTGAGCTCACGCACGCACTGGGGGGTGCTGGGCGGCAGGTGTGTTAGAGGAGTGTGTTTCTTGACATTTTTTAAGTGCACTGGGGGGTTTTCTAGCTTTTGGTAATCCCTAGTCGCTCCTGGTTTTTTTTTTCAAGTCTTTTCTGTATGCCGTGCTCTGGTGTGCTCTCTCCATGTACTGCTGTAACCATGCTGTGCCCATGCTGTGCCCATGCTGTGCCCATGCTGTGCCCATGCTGTGCCCATGCTGTACCCATGCTGTGCCCATGCTCTGCCCATGCTGTGCCCATGCTGTTTGCTTTCTTTCTCAGATTTGTCTTGCTTTCTTTCTGTTTTCCGCATAACATGTATTCTTGTGCCTGTTTCACTTGATCGTGTGTTTGTCTTGTGCTGTGTTGGCAGCTGGCAGGTGTCCAAGACCCAAGACCGCCTCCGACTGCGGCATAGGTGTCGTGAGGCAGGGGTTGCTGACGGTGTTGGGTTGGACGCGGTCCACGCCTGAAGCGCCCCTGTGTGTGAGTGAGCGCTCTGACGATGGATGGGGGGACGCTCCCTGAAGTCTGATGGCCTCCTCACCCCGCCTTCGCCTGGCCAGGTGTTACGCCACCTGGTCTGAGTTGGGCTTGTGGGACGCTGCAGCCCGGCTCGTGTCGCTTAGGGGCTGCGGAAGGCGACAACGACAAGGTTGGGTGTCGGCGAGTCGCTCTGCTCTTCGTTTTTTTTTTTTTACCTAACCTGCCGTGGTTTGTATGCAGGTCCCACACGAAGGGTCCTCACCTCAACGTGGTATGTGGGTGTAACACTAGGGGTTAACCCCCCTGGTGGCCAAGAGGGGCCCAGAAGACCCAAGACCGTGGCACACCTCAACGTGGTGTGTGGGTGAAACACTAGGGGTTGGCAAGCTGGAAGGGCGTGTTACACTCTTCCAGTCATAGAGCGTCGCCGCGCAGAGGCAAGAGTCGTGTCTCTTGCCCTTGCCTCCACCATTCGCCTCCTCTCCTGCTGCATCTAACCCTCCCTTGTTGCGTGTGTGTGCTTCTCGGCCTGCGAGACGGAGGGGAATGGCAGGGAGTGGACGGAGGGGAATGGCAGGGAGTGGACGGAGGGGAATGGCAGGGAGTGGACGGAGGGGAATGGCAGGGAGTGGACGGGGGCTGACAAGCTTGTGGGCTCCATTCCTGCGCGAGACACAGCAGCAGCGCTGGTGAGTCGTAGCAGCAGTAGCAACGGCGCTGCTTTTTTCAGCCAAGTATTTTCTCCTTTGAACGCTTTGCCTTTTGTGATGCCAAGCGCTCATCACTTGTATTGCATGTGCTTCACTGCTTTCTCCTTGAAATCTCGCCACTTGTTGGTTTTGGCTCAACTCAGAAGCCACAGACCCCCCCTGTTGCAGGTATCAACAGCACACCACGAGCAACCCGGAGCACCACTCGTGGAGCCTGGAGCACGGGCAGCAGCAGGGTGCTGCTTGGGCTGAAGGAGCTGCAAATTTTGCCAAGTAGGGGAAAACATTCAAGTGGAGCATGGTACGTGCCAGGGTTTGCTTGCAGGGGGGGCGTGAATTGAGTTGTAGGGTGTCGCCGCGCAGAGGCAAGAGTCGTGTCTGTTGCCCTTTCTTCCGCCACTCGCCTCCTGCTGCTTCTGACCATCACTTGTTGCACCGCCTCTGTGTGTGTGTGCGTGTCCCTCTCCCCGTGCGTGCGTGTGTGTGCCTCATGGCCTGCGAGGCGGACGGGAATGACAGCGAGTGGATGGGGAATCGACACCGCTGTGCTTGCTGGCTTGCACGAGAGACGACTGTCCTGCGAGGAGAAAGGGGAGAAAGGGGAGCAAGGGGAGCAAGGGGAGCAAGGGGAGCAAGGGGAGCAAGGGGAGCAAGGGGAGCAAGGGGAGCAAGGGGAGAAAGGGGAGAAAGGGGAGAAAGGGGAGCAAGGGGAGCAAGGGGAGCAAGGGGAGAAAGGGGAGAAAGGGGAGCAAGGGGAGCAAGGGGAGCAAGGGGAGCAAGGGGAGCAAGGGGAGCAAGGGGAGCAAGGGGAGCAAGGGGAGCAAGGGGAGCAAGGGGAGCAACCTAGAGCAGCACGCCTCAAGTGAAGGCATGGTGCAGGAGTGGTACGTGCCAGGGGATGCTTGCAGGGGGGGCTTGAGTTGAGTCGTAGTGAGTCGCCGCGCAGAGGCAAGAGTCGTGTCTCTTGTTCTTGTCTATGCCACTCGCCTCCTCTCCTGCTGCTCCTAATCCTCCCTTGTTGTGCCGCTTCTGTGTGTGTCTCTCTCTCCCCATGCGTGTGTGTGCCTCGTGTCCTTCGAGGCGGACGGGGGTGACAGCGAGTGGACGGGGAGGCAGCGAGTGGCTGCAGCGACTGCAGGATGATGGCGAGCATACAAGGGGTTGTGAGTGAATCAGGTCAAGCAGTTCACCACTTCACTTTTCACTTCTCACCATCTTCCTGCTTTCATGCATGGCATTTCATCTCAGTCCCTTCTCCAGCCTTCGTCTGCCATCTCATCCACTCGCCTCTGCTCGGCCTCTCATCCACTCACTTGTCCTCTTCTTGCTCAGGCCTCGCTTCCTCTTCCTTGCCTTCCTTCCTCACCTCCAGCACTCAAGGGGCAGTGATCACCAGTGGCTGCAGAAACGCAGGGATCACCAGTGGCTGCAACAGCTGCGGGATGATGGCGAGCACACAAGGGGTTGTGAGTCCATCAGACCAACCTGTTGACCTGGAGCACCACGCCTGGAGCAGCACGCGTGAAGTGAAGGCGTGGCGCAGGAGTGGGAGAGCAGCGAGACGAGCATGGTACGTGCCAGGGGGTGCTTGCAGGGGGGGCATGAACTGTCATAGGGTGTCGCCGCGCAGAGGCAAGATTTGTGTCTGTTGCTTGCGGGTCCACCACTTGTCACCTGCTGCCTCTAACCCTCTTTTATTGCGCTTCTTCTGTGTGTGTGTCTCCCCCCCATGCGTGTGTGTCTCTCTCCCGATGTGTGTGTTTGCCTCGTGGCCTGTGAGACGGAGAGCCATGGCAGCACGGGGACGCCTGAAGGGAAGGCATGGCGCAGAGCAGCACGCCTCAAGTGAAGGCATGGCGCAGGACTGGGCGAGCGGCAGACGGAGCGTGGTACGTGCCAGGGGGTGCTTGCAGGGGGGCCGTGAAGTCAGTAGTAGAGTGTCGCCGCGCAGAGGCAAGAGTCGTGTCTGTTGCCCTTGCTTCCACCCCTCGCCTCCTGCTGCTTCTGACCCTCCCTTGTTGTGCCTCGTATGTGTGGTTGTCTCTCTCTCCCCATGCGTGTGTGTGCCTCACGGCCTGCGAGACGGACGGGAATGGCAGCGAGTGGACGGGGACTGTGCATGTGCGTGTGGGGGGAAGGGGGGAAGGGAGGTAGGTGGGTGGGGCCGTGCATGTGAGCGCGTGTGAGTGTGCGTGCCTGTGAGTGTTCCTCTCAGCCTTCAAGCTCTGGAGTGTGGCGGATTGCTCTTTGTGAACCTGCCTGCCCTTCGGTGGGGACAACACGATTTTCTTCTCTTCCCAGACAAGTGGTAACTTGGAGTGAAGATGTGGCAGCAGGGCGAATGCACCGTGCGTTGCTTTTTGACCTTGTCCCTTCTCAAGCTAGCATCTGCCCTTTCACATCCTCACGCCTCACTTTTTCTTTCTTGCCATCCCTTGTCCCCTCACCTCCCTTCTTTTTGTTGTGCCATACATCTACGGTACCCATACGTCTCTGCTACTCTCTTGCCAGATGTTCGTGCCCCTCTGCTCGGCTCTCAAACCACTCCTCTCCTGTCCTCTCCTCTTCTCTGATTTCCTCTCTTCCATCACCTGTACGGCATCACCTGTTGTCCTGCACCAGCAGCATGGAGAGCAGCAGTTGCAGCAGCAGCAGCAGCAGCAGCAGCAGCAGCAGTGGTGGTGGTGGCAGCAGTAGTTGCAGCATCAACGGGCCACTGCAGTGGTTGCAGCTGCAGCAACGGAGGGGTAATTACAGTCTACCCTTTGCTTCCAAGTTCCCTCTATATGTCTGTTGTTTAGCATCGTTTGCGTTCTTGTCTATACTCTGGTACCTTACTCGCTTCCCGTCATCCTTTTCCTCAGCCCTCCCTCCCATCTTTCTGTGTCCTAATTCAATGGTGTCCTCGCCTCCCCGCCTCTCCCTTCATCCACGTCCTTGTATCTAGTTGTTGTTGCGAGTTTGTTTTTCTCCCCTCCCCATGTCCCATTGCTGACGTGATCTGACGTGAATACAATACGCAACTATTATGTGCCGTCTGTTCATCTACTGAGTGGCTCCTCCTCTTTCTTTTTCTTCCTTCCGTGTCCCATTATGTGTCTGTTGTTCAACATCACTTGCGGTCTTGTCTGGACTCCAGTACCTCTCGTTTCCCGTCATCCTTCTCCTCAGCCCTCCCTCCCATCTTTCTGTATCCTAATGGGGGCCCTCGCCTCCCCGACTCTCTTCATCCACGTCCTTGTATCCTGTTGTTGTTGCGACTTTGTTTTTCTGCCCTCTCCATGTCCCATTGCCATTTCTGGCAGCATCCGTGGGGGAAGCAGTGGCAGCAACAGCACTGCTGCGTAATCCACATGGTGGGTGTGATGGGACATTCTAAGGGGGAGATGCTGACCTTGTTATCGCACATGTCTCACTTAGTGCTCGTCGTTTAATTGTGATCTGACGTGAAAACAGTAAATAACTTCTGTTCATATTTACTTCTGCATCTACTAAGTGGCTCCTCCTCCCTTTTCTTCCTTCCGTGTCCCACAGCTTCTCCTCGTAAGTAGCTCTTCTTTGGTGAAGTGCAGGGCGAGGTGGAGAACACTTGGGCTGCCGCTTGCTGGTGGGTGCCACTGTCAGAATG